CTCGATAGGTTGTTTTAAATAGGTAATTTGTTTTGTATCGTTTCATATGAATATATATTTTTCATCATTATCATCATCATCTGGTGAAAGTACGAAGCTGAACTTGGAGTCTCTTGTGTTGTTGAGAAGATGAGCTTTAATAGTATCAGAGTCTCGTCCATCTGACGCTGCTCCCATTCGCTGCTCTGGTGGGTATTTTAACTATGCCGTAAATAAGATGTACTGTGTATAGATATACCATCCGGAAGCCAATTCCTTTTTGGAATTTCTCATGCATGCATCGTGCGAAATGGGGAAAAAATAAACGTTAAAAAGAGCTCAGTGGCAATATCCTAGTAATTTATCTATGTAATATTTAAATGTAATTTATCCCAGTTAAAATAATATATTATTCCATTGCAACTTTTCTATCCCTTCTTTCAAATGTACATAGGGAGGTCTACTTATTTGATGTTCCAAGAAGATGCTGCTGTATATATTCTTGATCAAACATTCCCTTTATGTCCTTTTACGACACTAACGAAATAAATTGTTTTCCTTCATTTACCACCATCATCACACGGTGATCATGTACATTAATCAGACAATTGCCATCTCCATTCGAAGAAGATATGTTCAGCAGTCGATTAGTTAGAGGGTTGATGTAGATGATGATGACATAGATGAGATAGATGTTGTATTATTTTAGAGCATATCCCTTTTTTTAAATAATTGAGTTCACTCTAATCGTAGTCGGTAACAACCTCAATGGATAAGACAATACCTAGTTATAATAACCCGACTGCGTAAAAAGTTCACTGAAAAATGTAAAAATATCATACTTTTGTTTTTTTTTTCCTCGTACGACCCCTCTGTAGAATTGTTTACCAACAGCGATTTTCCGGACTGGTTCGACTTAGGGGCCTTCAAGTAAAGAATGTACTCCTATCTGAAAAGCCGGCAACGCACCTACAATTCCCCTGGTGTTGCAGTTGATCATGGGCGGCGGTAGTCACTTACCATCAGGTGAGCCGTATGCTCGCGTGCCCCTCTTCTACAAAACAACACTTTATACCCTACTTCATTCACAAATACGATGAGTCAATGACACCACATATAATATGTGATTAATCCGTTCAGGCTACAGAGCGTGCAAAATAATACACACATGTACGTAAGTATATACATTCGAAAAACATCATCCTACTGAAGCAGTTGGGTACCCAAATAATTAACAAAATATTATTTAAAAAAATACTTAAACAGTCTGAAGCAACAACATGAAGATAATTAACATATATACGAAGAATGGTATACACGGATGAACATAATGTTAAAGGCATTCTGTACCTGTTAATCTTAAGGATGTGCAGAATTAAAAGGATATAGGTTTGAAAAGAAATTAAAATAAATACATATTTATATTACATAACACATTAACAAACAAGCAGATGGACAGAAGCGTCTTCGTAAAAACTACTAAAAAGAATTTCGGTTGCCAACCAACCTGGCAACTATGGCAAATATCCCCGCGTTGAGTCAATCTATGGGGGAGGCCTATATGCAGCATTGAAGGTGCTAACGGTAACGGTATAACACGAGAACAGCACAAGTGGTAAAATAAAATTGTACAACCGGCTTCAATACAAATAAAATGAGAACATCAACAATGTAGTCGAATTCAAATAAATACGCATTATTAAGGATAACTCGAAAACTACTGGTTAGATCTTGATCAAATTTATATAGGACCACATGAGAAACATCAGCAAAAATACGGTCGAATTGAGAACCTCCTCCTTTTTTGAAGTCGATTGAAAAGTAGGTGACATAACATGAGAGTGGTAGTAAGCCAGAACAGTGTCTAAAATGTTAGAAAAAATCGTACATATTTAAAGGTATTAAAAAATACGTTTATTGAAAAGAATTTAGTTATCTAAATAACCATGTTATTGGGTACAGCCCTAACTGGACTTGTTACTTGATATAACTAATACACATTTTTAAAAGGCTTAACGAGATCAATATTTTATCATATTTATCATAATAATTGTAATACAATATGTATATTTATTCTCAATGACATTTTAATGATGTATTTTGTTTACTTCGGTAATTATACGAATTAATAAACTACAGAGTTGCTGCGATGCAAAAAAAATCAATTTGTAATGTTAATAAAAAGCATGAAATTCGTCACATGCTACTTAATTAAATAAATATTTCGTTCCATTACCATCGATTTTTAAGACTGAACTAAAGATGTTTGACCAGTTTATAACGGGTTTAAGGTAAATATATTTATTTTTTGTTGTATATAATTTGCTTTGTATAGTTTCTTGTAATTATACCTAGAATTTGTCAATACAAGCGGAGAGCTTTCAGAATTTATTCTTGTTCAAAATATATTTAATATAATAATCCTACAGACCAAATTCCGGTCTCGGCGGCTAGTCTCAACGGAGACTAGCCATGTGGGTAGGAGTTATAGTGCACGAGTTCATCCGTATGCGCAGGTGAACTCTTTATTCTCTTATAACTCTCCAATGGGATGGAAATCCGAAACCTATAGGATCATGCGCAGGACGTACGGCTTTTCGAGCTTTCCGAGGCTCGGGAGTGAAACAGTGAGTCAACTAACTGACTCCAGGCTGCTATTGATATCTTCTTCTTAGATAACTTCAACTTTTAAGTTTAGCCCCACTCGGGATTCGAACTCAGGACCTCATGATCAGCAGTCGCGCTAACGACCACTAGGACAACGATAGACTATTAATAAAAGAGAAATGAACCATAAAATAACATCTAAGTAATCAACAATGAGCAGTACTTATAAGCCGAAACCGATTAAGAAATTTCGCAACTTAAATCCAATAATCGCAGTACTAGAATTTGGAACCTAGAAAATTTTTTTGCCCTACAGTTGATATATATATATATATATATATATATATATATATATATATATATATATTGTTTTTTTTTAAACTTTGTGTGTTATGTTTCCAATTTTGCATGTTAATTAGTAGTGAAAATTTTACTGGCTGTGTCACCTAATTTTAATTAGTTGCTTTAAACGACATCAAATTACCGTAGAAGGTAAGAACGACTTTTTTTCACTTTTTTTCCAAGTGACGATCTCACCTGCAAGCGGTGCACCATGCTAATTAACGAACGAGGCTCGTGCGACCGTCAACTAGCGGTATATCAACAAAACACCAAACACAAATCCTACAGACTGAAAATGGGGAACAGTGTTACCAATGAACTCACCAACCCGCAGTCCGTCTGACCGACGTGGTAAGGCGAGTATTTCTTAACGTTACACGCTTTTTGAAAAGATCAATATCCGGTGGTGGTAAAGAAGTTTTAAATAAACAAAAAGTTAAGCCCGACAACGTGAAGTGGTAAGTTTTTACTTCATTTGTACACTCACTGTAACTCTTCCAGTATACGCTTCATTGCATTCCTTGCACTTTGTTCATATTATTAATTAAAATTACAGTACAATGTTTTATTATGTGTGTAGCAGATATAGAAGTGAAAACTTCTTTAGGCACGTTGGACCCTTTTGGGATTGGGAAAAAACCCTGAATTCGCTTGATCGTCACGCTCAGATAAGATAAAGTTGATTTTTTTTATATAGTATAGGGTGACAAACGAGCACACAGTCCACCTGATGGTAAGTGGTTGCTGTGGCCCATAGACATCTACATCTATCCTCGATTACGAATCAAAATTCAAATGCACTGTCACCCGTGAGGACTAAGATGGAATGCCTTGTTTCCAGTAAAAATGGTCTTCGGTTCTCTACACTCACCAAACGAAAGACAGCAGCATTAAGCTACTATTATACGCTGGTATTCTGTGAGAGCGTAGTCCTTCCCCGGTCGAGCCTACCCATTCGTGCTACAGCTATACTACTCATATAATTGAAGCATGGCTCTACCACGTAAACATTGATGTCGAAAATCCTATTGATTAAAATTCATATAAACTTGTTTGTATATTTTATATAGATAATAAACATTCCTTTTCATGTAAAACAGCGCAAATAATGACAATTTTATTACTACATTAATACGTTGTTAAATATAGTTTCTTACAAAATATACATTCCAAAAGTATTTCTTAACAACCCAAAAATAATTTTTACAAGATTGTGAAGCTAAGAAGTTATCACTTCTGACATAGGTATAGTCCTGCGATTAACAGTTTCTTTTTATAATTTATATTCTAAGATTTCAATCGTATCTTTCGAATTTTACTGCAACACTTTTTGGTTAAATATAATTTGTTTTTACTAATTATTAATTAAAAGCATTAACTATGACACCATACAACACCTCAGTCTGTAACTATAGGTGTTCCAAAGTACAACCAACAGCCGGAATATGAAATAAGTTGAATTTATTATATATATAACTCTCGCCCGGTTTCATAGTAATCCCACCGGAATTCGACCCTCGAGTTCTTAGTATTTAGAAGACTGTTTCTTTAGATTACGTGATAGAGTCGCGCTGCAGCTATATTACGGTATTAGCACGAATTGGCGACTCAATCGTGGAGGCATATAGAATATCTGCGTAAAATATGAAACTTAACGCTGCTGTGTTTCGTATGGTGAGTGTATAGAACTAGAGACCCTTTTTACTAGAAACGACGTCCTCAGGTGTGACAACACATTCGCATTTTTACTCGTATTCTTTTTCAAGGATAGATGTAAAAGTCTGCAGCCTACAGCATCCACTTAACATCAGGTAGACTTTCTGCCCTTTTGTCACTATCTGCATACCTCATAAATTTGAATTATAAGAAATTATTACATTCCTTTACATGCATATTTTTAATCTAGTAAAAAAAAGTATGCGAAGTAAAAATAAATTACGGCAGGCGCTAACCAAACTAACGAATGAGTATTGTCTTAAAATTTACTATCTTATAAAGAGGACGTCGTAAGTAAGAGAGAACGAGGCGAAGCGTTTAGCGCGCTAATTTGAAGGAGTCAGTGTCGGTGTACGATGGCATCTTCACGGCTTACAATAGTAAACAAATGTGTCGAGCGGTCGCAATTACCTCGGCGGCAGGTGCGCAGGAGCGGCGCGGGAGCGGCGCGGGAGCGGCGCAGTGCGGCACAGCGGCGTCACGCGGCCGCCAGCAAATCGCGCGCTCATCACGCTCCCTCTACCTCCGAACTTATGCTAATGGTCCCGCACCGCGTAAATTGGAGCTCGCTGCAAAACAAAATGCGTCCGCCTCTTTATCTTATTGCTTCACCTCGTACTGGACCTATGTACTTCATCTTAAAAATTCAACATACAGAAATAGAGTCTCTCCCATTCACAGAGGGTTTATTTTCAAGTAACTTTCAATGCCGGGCTCCAGTAAACCCACAGACTGGAAGAGCGACTGAAATTCGAATACAAAAACTGGCGCGGGAACGAACGTGAAACCGATTAAAAGGCCACATCACGATTTTGTATGCACTTTGCACTCATTTGATCTCGTGCGGAAAGTACTGGCTACTCTGCCGATATACTTTGCTATTCTGTTTTCAAAGATTATTTAAAGAGCGCTTTGTAATTAAAGTGATTTATTTCCTTTGTTTTTTTTACCAATTTCTTTTTCGTTTTTCGGTTAGAGTAAGTGTTGACTAACTTTTAAATTATGTGAGTTACGCTACAGCGTATTGTCTTAAAGAATATGGTGATGTTATTGTATTTGAAAAGTAAAGTGAAACGGTCGATATATTTTTTTATAAACGGAATCCATCAATTAGTAGCAGCATGATGATTGAATATTCTTCCATCGATCAACAATAATAGATCCCATCAGAGGCCGGTATGTAGCATCACATTTCATATAATAAGAGTTCAATACATCGCACCGTGAAATGTGTTGATATAAAAACTTAACTAACTATAACTGCTAACGTGTGAATCGTATTAAAAAGGTGTTTAGTCATTCGCCTTCATAAACGGGTGGCATTCGATTTGTCGTGATTAAATTTCGTCCATTAGGACACCGTTAGCTGATCTATAGATGTAAATGGATAATGGGTTTAATAATCCGATAAATAGAATTACTTTTGCGAAATATTTTCCATAGGAGATAATTTATTACCTTTAATAAGTTATCGTTATATGTATTATATTATATAACCGGTCAGGTAAATATTTTTTATAGGATAAGAGTGACAAACGAGTACACAGTCCACCTGATGGTAAGTGGTTGCTGTAGTCAATAGACATCTATCCTCGAATACGAATCAAAACGCAAACTCTTAGACGGAATGCCTCGTTTCCAGTTAAATGGGTCTCCGGTTTCCTACACTCACCATACGAAACGGCAGCGTTGGGCTGATATTTTACGCTCATATTCTGTGAGAGCGTGATCCTTCCCCGGTCGAGCCGACCCATTCGTGCTACAACTATACTACTAATATAATTGCAGCATGGCTCTACCACGTAAAAATTAATGTTTAAAATCCTATTGATTAAAATTCACATAAATTTGTTTGTATATTATATAGATAATAATCATTCCTTTTCATGTAAAACAGCGCAAATAATGAGAATTTTATTACTACATTAATACGATGATAAAAATAGTTTCTTATAAAATATACATCCTAAAAGTATTTCTTAACAACCCAAGAATAATTTTTACAAGACTGTGAAGCTGAGAAGTTATCACTTCTGACGTAGGTACAGTCCTACGACTGACAGTTTCTTTTTATAATTTTATATTCTAAGATTTCAATCTTTGTTTTTACTAATTATTAATTAAAAGCAGCGGTTAACTATGACACCATACAACACCTCAGTCCGTAACTATAGGTGTTCGAAAGTACTACCAACAGTCGGAATATGAAATATATATAACTCTCGCCCGGTTTCATAGTAATTCCCACCCGAATTCGACCCTCGATTTCTTAGTATTTAGAAGACTGTTCCTTTAGACTACGTGTTAGTCACGCTGCAGCTATATTATGGTAATAGTACGAATTGGCGACCCAATCGTGGAAGGCGCGGCTTAAAGTTACATACATTATAATATACCTATGTGGTACCACATAAATTAAGTAAAAGATTCGAATACGATCATAATTATTAGTTATTAATATTTATATTCTGACCCTTCTCTACGACTACTTGTAACAAGTAAATACTGGTCATGGACATCAATCGCACATCAGACGCAGCTCCTAAGCGCGGGTCTAATTATAACATAGACAGTGATACCTGCGCCCTCCTTTCTGCCAAGGAGGGTCGCGTTCGTATACGGCTTAGAGATCTCTAGTCAGATCGTTAAGCCAATTCCTAAAAGGTTGAGTTTAGTGGGTAAAAGTCACCACATAACCACGCAGCCGGCTGCGTGGTATGCTATGAGCATTCTCAACCTCCCTCCCCCGCTTTCCGAAGGGTTGCCCATATTTGCTTCGGGCGCAAAAAAAAAACAGTGATATGACCATTTTGGCATTTTCCTTAGTTGCTTCTTACGCACCCACGGGATAAAATGGTGTAAGAGAAAATAATCTATCTATAATAAATGGAATCTTTATAATATTAGCTATCAAGCACTCGCTTATAATAGTTCAAAAAATTATAGAACAATGGCCGCAATCATTACGAGGTGATATGGAATATGGCGAAAGTCTAGTTGCTCATTCCTTCCTTAGCTTCCTACCGGCACCCAAATCAGCCTCAACACTATATGACACCTCTTTGTTGCATCATTAGGCAATTGCAGTGTCCGATTTCGCACATCTTAATAATTCAAATTGTATAAAAGTAAAAAATTATAGTAACAGCCCACATACGTCCTATTATTGAATACTGGTCTGAGAAAGTTTTTAAGCCCGGAAAGAGTCGTAAATAATGCGAGCTGGCGAGTTTTACATGTCCTGGAAATATTACTCACTCTCATATATGCAGGTTTCTTCATTATGTTTTCGACAGTTAACATTTTGATTATAACCTTCGGAGTTCAAAATCAGTTTGCTCGTGTATTATGAAATTTTAAAACGACCGCTTATTGATATTGTTACAAAGTTACAAATATTTACTTTATTGTTCACAAGAGAAGACACCGTTACGTACTAGTTAATTATGCAAATAAAAAAAGAGGAGGTAAGTTCGTTGTATTGTAGCGACACGTAGTACCGTTAAAGTACGTAATTTAGTTCAATTGTCTTGCAAACGGAGCCAGCCAATAAACAATCGCTCATATTGAATGAAAGGAAATGTCCGTCTGGAAATTAGCTTGGAAACAAGAGAAAACCTTTAAAAGCGGAACGTTTATTATATTAAAACGTTTTAAATTGTAAAAGGGGACTCGAGTGCCGGCGCTAATGTATTTGACTTGTCAGGTGTAGGCTATATTTTACATATTATGACTTGTTACATACTCGTAAGCATGTAAGTGATTTAAAATTATTACCACCCTTCAAAATTGATTGCTTAATAGTTTTTGTAACTTATATTGTGTTGTATGCGCGTTAACTTGAGCAGCCTTAAATAAGTTTTACAAGTTTCTTTCTCTCAGAAACCTGCAGTACTGTACTGCCGGGCGTTAGACTTCTCTGTTGTAGGGAGGGTTGCCATAATCTCCACGGTTTGCATGAAGATTGGCGATCGCAGTATCACATGTATCGCATTTTTACCCTGGGTATTTCGTGTATGGCAACACCTAAATGCCGCTATGTATGTGCCGTGGGAAGTCATGTGATTTTTTTTTGTATTTTCCATGGTCATCTATTACAAAGTCAATGGAACGAAATGTCACTCCATTTCGATGATTCTCTTACAGCACCAATACACGCGTTACACTAGTAAATGCTTATTTCCTTTGATTTGGATGAAACGGTTAAGTTTTCTTTATGTTTTATTAAATAGAGATAAATGGGAAATTTTCTCAATCCGTAGTAACAGTGGTTGTAGAGCGATGGTAGTGCGGATGGATAACACACGGCACGCGCCTAGCAATCCAATGAGTTCTGAAACGGGCCTAATATTTAAATTGCAAACCGCCCGCGCCTGCCCGTATCAAATGTTGTTTTATAGCTAATTCCCAAATTCGGTTATGGCCTATAAACGATCCGCTGGAATAATTTAAATGCGAGCCCGCCTGTATAATGTTCGTACTTTACTTCGAAATTAGGTATTTGTATGTGAAATGCGTTTTGAAATAGGGATTCCCTTTCGACTTTTATTTCTTGCGTGAAAGGATTCCGCGAGAGTTGAAAATTCGCTTCATTATGTAGTCATCGTGGGACAACTTTACCTGGAATCATTTCCACTTTTCGATCTTAATTTAAGGTTTTAATTCTGATCGTACTTAAAACTTTTAAATTTCTAAAAATACGTACAATCGGTGTATGTTTTGTACGAATTCCCAATAATGATAATAGCCTGGATTAAAACATAAATCTTTGGCTTAAAATTTGCAGTGTTTATCTTTTGTTAGCACAGCAAGAAAAGATTCGAAAATCTTTTAAAATGCAAAATTATTGGTGACTCTTGGGACGAATGAGGTGATTTGCAACATTACACTTGTTAAACTGCATCATCTCAAGTCGTAATAATGTTAATGCCAGTGACTGAGCCCGGGGTCGGTATGAAAGAAAGATTAATTGTTGGTTTTTGGACGAATTTATCACTCATTGCATTTACATTTATTGTGTTAGTAAGTGCATTTTGATTTATAAGATCACACACAGTTGATTTACACCTTATTGATACATTAAATTTATCTCTCTAGGACTTTGAAAAAAAATTTTGACTTTGATACTATCTTTTATTAGATTTTTGAAGAGTATTTTAATAATATATTTTTTTTGTAACTTAGAAGACCATCATTAAAGTTATGCTAAAATAAATTAAGGATAATTATAAATGAAACTGCTTACTTGGCGTCCATAAAACGTTTTCCTCGAAGTTTTTCTTTGATTTTCGGAAATAAATAAAAATCGCAATGTACGAGGTCGGGGCTATAGGGTGGATGACCCAGTAATTCCACGTGTGAGATGTCACAGAAGCAGTCGATTGTTTGCTTGGCGGTGTGCAACGAGGCGTTGTCGTGGAGAAGGAGGATCCTACGAAATGACTAACGATAGTTTCTCCCGAACTTTTTCCAAGACAAGTGGAAAACAATACACGCAGTCACTTCACACAATTAATTATGCCAATAACTCATAATTTTTGCTAAAAACGGCTTAAAGGTACCTACTAAAAATTTTATGAGTTAACAGATCGCCTAAAGGTACGTGAATATAGTAGCCAGCGGACATCTATCTGCAACCAACGTCAAGCGAGGAAGGCTATAGATGCGTGGCGTTAAAAAGTGGAAATTCTCACAGATTGTAATAGTCTTATCAACTGGAACACAGCCGAGGGTGCACTGATACTTGGAGACAGTAAATGGTAATAGGGTAGTACCAACCAAAACG